ATTATAACATCGGCTAACAGATGAAACAAATCATCTTTGCATGGTAGTGGATATTTGTTCTTAATTTTCACTTTGTTCAACTCTCTATAGTCAATGCATATTCTCATGGATCCATCCTTCTTCCTAACAAAAAGTACAAGTGCACTACAAGATGAATGGCTAGCCCTGATAAATCTCTTATCCATTAATTCATGTAACTCAGCTTTTAACTTATGCAGTTCTTTAGGGGACATCATATAAGGAGATTTGTCGATTGCTGATGTTTCTGGTTGTAGTTCTATGTCAAATTCAACTTATCTTTCAGGTGGTAATTTAGGTAATTATTCAAGAAATACATCTAAAATTCAGAGGCAACTAGAACATTCTTTAAGGCCAGAATATCTTTATTTAAGACCTCCATTATAGCCAAGAACACTAACTCACCCATCCTTAAATATTTACCCATCTTCACTATACTAATAAAAGAGGATGTTGCATTTTTTCATAAGGAAAATGGAATATTTTCTCATTTGGTAAATTAAATTTTATTCTCTTCTTCCAACATTTAATTGTAGTAAAATATTTAACTAACCAATCCATTCTCAAGATGATGACAAATATTTTAATAGGCACTATAATTAATTCTGTTAAAAATTTGTGACCTTGAATATCCAAATTCATAAGACACGTCCTGTTGGCAAGAAAACTATCCCCCGTTGGCATCATAACACATAAGGTAGGCATAAAATATGTAGTCTCAACAAATAAATTAGAACAAAATTCTTCAAAAATAAATAAATGGGATACACCAGAATAAAAAAGAACCATACCAAACTTATTAGCAATCAAAACTATACATGTTACCACCTCTTATGAATCCTTGGTTTCCTGGGGTGTAATGGCAAACACCCTAGCTTTCACAGGTTGATTGCCTTTAACATTTAATGCTTCTCCTTTAACTAAACTGGTAGTTTTCCTTGTACTGTTGGCCTTCCCTAAAACGGAGTTTTTCCTGACTGATTGCCTTCCAAATATTTCTTATGTTGTGCTTATTCCTAATACCCATGTAGCTTGGCATTGGTTCTTTTCTCTTGAGGGCAATCCACCTTGTGATGCCCCAACTTAACACATCTGAAACAACTTCTAGATCCCACCAAACACTGACCATAATGTCTCTTTCCACACTATTCAAATGAGAGTTTCTCAAGCTGACTTTGCTTCTGTTTATCATCAAACTTTGGCTTTTTTGTTTCTGAATCTATCATCCTTTTCAAATATCTTTCTTTTGCCTATTTATTGCTGATCCTAACTATGCTTAGAGAAATTCAGCTCATTTTGAATTCCTCTGGCTCCGTCCACTAAGTTAAAAAATTCACTGATATTATAAGGTGCCAATGCTAATCATAGTTGATCTTTGAGTCCTCTAAAAAATCTGTGGCACTTCTCCTCTTGGGTACTGACATAATGAGGTGTGTAGTGAGATAAAGAAGTGAACTCCTCTTCATATTGCATAATTATCTTAGAACCCTAAGTTAGATTGAAGAATTTGTCTTGCAGAGCTAATCTAGTTGAAGGAGGAATGAACCAATCTCTAAAAACCTTCAAAAAATCATTCCAGTGTATGCTAGTGATAATCATATATCCAAATTTTTCTCTATGATATGTTTGCCACCATCTTTTTGCTTCTCCTTCCAAAACAAATGTGGATAATAGTAATTTTCTATTTTTAGGATAGATCATACCATCTAGGATCTTCCCTATCTTAACAACCAATCCTCAGCCATTGTTGGATCATTTGCTCCTTTGAATGTTGGTGATTTAAAAGTCTTAAATAATTTTAAATGTCGATCCACTTCACGGTCACTTTTCGATCTAGGTCCACTTTTAATAGAAGATTTCTCCATATATGTAATTTTGTTTACCAATTATGAGATCCAATGTATAATATCTTGAAGTTCTTTAGACTTATTTCCTTCATTCATTCCGATTTATATATTCGACCTGGATGATTGACCAGTCATTCTTTTAGGCAACTCCTCAAACATAATTATATGTATGCATATAGATAATTCATAATATATATACTCATACTAATAAACATGATCATTTCAAAGCATTAAATAAGCATGTTATGCAATTATGTTATTATACCATAATGTTATGTATAGTTCCACTAAAACTTGATGCAACCTATAGCTTTATATATATCCAATTCATTATATCTCATCCTACTTCCTCATCTAAATCCAATTTAGCTTCCATTTTATCTTGATTTGGCTTTGATACCAACTTTTGTCACACCCCAGTTTGTCCCACCCTTTAACGATCAATCTGGAGTATAATAGAGAATGAAAATCTAAACTGACTCCTTTTTACTAACACCCATTCTGAGCCACTACCTTCAAAATTAAGTGAGTAAAAAGAAACTTATTTAGACTCTCCTAACACATCAACATATCAAGCCCCATGCTTAAATATAGGAAGCATGTAATGTATTTCAATTAACATCAAATATAATTAAAGTAAATATAGAGCTCTACTAAACTTTTAAAATTTTCTTACATACCCAAAAGTCTATACATCTATCATTTAGATCTCTTTGTACACTCAAAACATATTTAAACAAAAAAGAATGGTCACCTCTTTTTCCCACCTAGTGCCCTATGGGCTTCTTTCTCGTACCTGTAGTATAACCATTGTTAATGAGATAGCTCAATGAAATATGTAAATAATATATATATATGTTATTCATAAACATATTCATAAGTGTTCATACAAGAGTAAACTGAAGAAAATTGAAATAAATGCTATCATAAATATAGTAGATATGAATTGTAATTAAATATAAAGCTTTTACTACTTTTTATAGCATCGTTTGGGTGTCTCACCTCGCTAGGAATTTATTCTCCTAGACTTTGTCCTTCTTTCCTCTTGTATACAATCTCAATTGCACTCTTTCTCATTCCATAAAATCATTTTCTCTCTTTTAAAACTCTTTTCTACATCCTTTCCTTTCCTTCTAAGTCGTCTTCTTAGATTAAGCAAACCGTCTTATAAAATTCAGCCATCTTGAAATTCAGCCTTCTATGGAATTTAGATTAAAAAGCAAATTGTCTTACAATATAAATAAAATTCAGCAAACTATCTTATAATATGAGTAAAATTCAGCAAAACGACTTATAAAGTTCAGCCTTCTTTAATATACTTACCTATTTTTAGCTACCAAATAGCAGGACTTTTTTTATTGTTTCTTGAATTTGCAGCAACTAGAAGTAGCAGCCCTTAATTTGCTAAAAAAATTTATAGAATTCTTTTGATAGAATTTCACAGACTGCAACTCCCTTGCACACCAAGCTAGCTGATGGAAAAATTGAAGAGGAATGCTAATACAGGATTAGATAGTGGAAATAGTTTATTATAAGATCCACTACAGGATTAATGCCTTTATTCGGATTACTTTATATTAAAATCCCTAGTGTTTTTCCCACTATAGGCTTTCCAAAAATTTCCAGCCGTGAGATCTAATCCATCCAATGAATGCTCGGTTAGTGGAAATAAATAACTGAGGGAAGTTTCCTTTTTAGTATTAAAGCAAAAAAGGAATAATGGCTACTAGTTACTTAAAAGTCAATTCACTTGATTTCAATTAAATGTTAATGGCATATGTAATAGTTTATGTAAAAGTTATTCCTATACTAGTATATACAATTGACTTCATAAGTGAAATATGCTTCTATATATCAAATGCTCAAACTTAAAAGTAGATTTTTTTAATGAAAAAAAATTAGCATTTATAGAAAATTTATACTTTCCTTTGCTTTGAATAGTTTTGGTATTATAGTTACCCTCACAAAAATGAAATATCTAGGAAAAGGTGAGGCCCATCTAAGATGATGACAAGTCAAGAAAAGTATATTATGACCCTAGAAGGCTCTCATCCTAATGGAGGTCATAGCATATGAGCTCACACCTAGAGGATCAAATCAGGAAAGAAATTACTCTAGTGAGTTCATCCAAAGGACTCGTCTAAACAAACCTTCATCTTGAGGTGTACCTATCCTAGGAGAATTTGGAATTTTCAATAGTAAGTCTATCTTCCTTCAATGGTTGTCCTAGTTCGAGCTACATGAAGAACACACTTATAGAGCCCATGGTAATGAGTCCACTGATTATATTCATCCTTGACTCACAATCGGATTCATTTATGAGACTTGCCAATCACTTCTAGAGACTCACGTTCTCTTAAGAACTTACACCTGAAGACTTGCCAAATACACTTGACTTCGACGACTTGCCCAAGGTAAAGTGCCACATGTGCACCTTTTAAGCCTGCCCACATGCATGTATTAATAAGTACTTATCATATCATATATTATTTTTCTATTTTCTAAAAGATATAACATTTATTGTAGCCCTTTGAACCCTATAAATAAAAAATCAAATGACATATTTTGGACTTGATACTATTTTTACTATTCACAAAAAGTTCTTAGCTTCTTCTCATCTACTCTTATTATCTCATCTTATTCTCTTGCTCTAACTTGCTAAACTATTGTCACTCATAGATAAATTTGAATCTAACAAGTATAATATTTAAAAGAATAACAGATTTAATATGCATGCACAAATTTGAAAATAAAAAAAATTATTAAGGCAATGTTATCAAATTTTACGTCATATAATAATATTTAATTATATACTTATTTTAGAAAATATGCATGCACTAAATTAGTAAGCATATTGTCATTAATCATTAGAATATACCATTTTGAAAAAAGTAAATAAATTTCCTTTTGGCTTCAAAAGTTCTTAAGAAATATCTTAAAGTTCTTTACAATTCTTTTTGTTTTTCCTTATATAAAACTTGAAGGGTATAGGAAAGAGCATAATAGAGTAGAAAGAAGCAGGTGAACACAACGAGGTTTATTTCACTTGGATAACATAATTTTTTTATAAATTAATCCAAGGCTCAAATCTCAATATTCTCAATCATTTAAAATAAGACAGCCAACACAAATCTCAGTCATAATTGCAAAACAACACCATTAAAATCAAACTATAAAGACATTCATTTATGTACATTTCTGCTCTATATGCAATTCCAAATAAATACAATCTTCACCACTATGAATGCGAATAAGTACCTTCTTCCTTCATAAACTATAACCCACCACAGCTTTTCTGGGATTTTAGCTCCCAGACTAGCACTTATTTCAGAACAAAAAAACACAAAAAAGAACATACAAATGTAATAAAGATATCAATAGCTAACCAATATGCAACTTTCATTCCTGCTCACATCTTCCATCGCATTCAAGTAGAATGAAGAACAAGCCTGCAAGAAGCAAAGAGTATGTACATCCACCTTTCTGTCACCATTAGATCTGCCAAAAATAATATAGCTATACATGGCATAGCTCCTCCAATGGAGTTTCATCTCCTATGAGGATGAGGCCATCAACGTGCATTGGTAAAAAGCATCTCATCCATTGCCAACCAGTCGACGAAGCTTCATCCGGTGGATCGATTATGATTAAGTTTTCATGTGTTTTGAGAGTACCTAGAACACTCACAGTGCTTCCCTCTCTGATATACCTATTTTAAGGTTCACCCTTCAATACACATGTAATAGAAACATTGCAAGCTTGAACAGATAAAAATTCCTCAACAATTATCAAATGATGATTTAGATTCAGATATGGAAGAGAATGAACAGGCAAAAGAAGTGCTTAGGAACCTCCAACCTTATGGGGAAAAAATGCAGAGCAAGCTTGATTTCAGCATGATTCTGAAAGTACTGTGTTGAGTAGCTTGATGAAAACAAATTTCATACAGGATGAAAAGTAAAACATATTTATATCATGCAATCAAAAACTAGAAGCAATTAAGGTTTTGTTTGGAACGGCTTTTTTATTGTTTTTGAAAGCGAATTTTTAGTATAAAATTTTTAATTTTTTTACTAGAAAGCCGCTTTAAGAAGCAGAAAAAAAGCCGTTCCAAATGAAGCCTAAGTATAGAAATAACATCACTATGAATTAATACGATTACCTTGATTTATTATCTTAAAACGGCCATAAATTTCATGACATGTTCAACTATGAAGTATCAATACCTCCTAAATGCTGGAAAAGTGTCCACTCAATAACATTTTGATGTTCAAATCGTCAATCAACAGGCAATCAAATAAGTAGGCCTTAACGTCAAGTTTAAACTATAATGGTTTGTGAGAAATTCTATACAAATTTTAACTAAAGAGCATAATTTTGAACAAGGATTTCCAACTTTCATGGTACAGATCCACAATAAAATTTATCATGGTTAAAATAGTTTATGATCAACAATCTTAGACAGGTTAATAATGACATAGAATCAAGCTAATCATTACAAGTGAGAACGGAAATAATGTAAGCTATTACCAAACACATAAAACTGTCAGAAGTATTTAACTTTTTAATGGCCAGTAAAATTATGCAGAATAATTAAATTTTAAGGTAAGTCAATTACAAATTAGCAATTTTGTTGATAGTAAATAGTTAATTTAAAATTCATTACAGAAAAATATAACGGCTAACTTCATCAGCGAGCGCACTTTGCAAGAGTGAAATGACTTTCAATCAACATAAAACTAAAACTAGTTAATTCCTCCAGTCATGTGCTAGTGCGATACCTCTCCAGAGAGAGCAACTAAGCACGATGATACCTCTCCAGAGAGAGCAACTAAGCACGATGATTTATAACAACCTAACAGATAAAATGAATTAAAAAAAACAATGAGTTGAATGGTAACTGTATAACCGCTACTATTAGTAGTATCCTCTCAGCAGCGGGGAGGCCAAAGATTTCCAACTCCTCGCAGTCTCTCCAAATTGCTTTATTTGCTTGTTTCAAAGTATGGAAGCTAGGGGTGTAAGTGTGCCGAGCTGGCTCGCAAGCCGACTTGAACTCAACTTGCTAAAAAGCTCACGAGCCGACATTATCGAGCCATGAGCTCGAGCTCAAAATAGAGCTCGTTTATTAAACGAGCTCGATAAGACTCTCCTCATGAGCTCGTGAGCCGGCTCGTCATTAATTAATTATTTAATAAAACTTTATATATCAAAATAATATACACTTTTATGCTTAGTAAATTTTTATAAAACCTGCTCATTTTATTTTATACATCTTGCCAGCATTTATTACAGGTTAATATAACGGTTACTTTTTGTTTTTTTTTTTTAAAGAAAAGACTGCTGCAGCATCCCCAATACGAATATACATATGGCTAGCATTTAAGAAAAAGGATGTTAATTAAATGCGGGTCACATGCTCACGTGCGAAATGCGAAAGACAAAACAGCAGAACGTGGGTTGTGGGATTCGCCTGCAGGAAGCAGGGCGCGGGCTTGCGTGCATAATCAAGCCGCTCAACGAGCCGACCTACAGCACGACGAGTTAAGTTCGAGCTCTCTTTTTGAGCTTGACTCGAGCTCGAGCTCAAGTTCGAGCTGATTGTTTGACTGACAAGCCGAGCTCGATAAGGCCACTACTCGATTTGACTCATTTACACTCCTAATGGAAGCTATAGATGCCATCTTAATGGGCAGGCCATGATTGATTGGAGGAAAAATCATTAGATTGGATGGATGGAAGCCCTCATTATCTCATCCATTTGGATTGGATTACCCAATCTACCACTAATGCATTGGGACAATGCAAATTTAGCTCGGATTGCCTCTTTCATAGGACAACCATTATGGGTGGATGCACCAATGAACCCTAGGGGAAGAAATTGCTTTGCTTGCATTTGGTTTCGTGTTGACCTTGCTTCAAAGCTTCCTTCTGGGGTTTGGGTGATGTGGGTACAAGGAAGATATTTCCAAAGAGTTGAATATGAAGGGATCTCACATCTATGTTTCAAATTTGGTTTTATTGGACAGCCAATTCCTGCTTGATTGCATAGTCAAGTTGGGTTGGAGAGACAATTCAATGCAGCCACAGAAAACTACCAGCCAACGTTTGTAGAGAAAGGCCACTTGCTAGTGAACCAAAGGGTAGCTCTCATGTTGCAAATCATGAAGAGACAAATGGTATGATTGATCCCCCGTCCAATCCAGCATGTGAAGAGAAACAAAATAGCAGCCCAACAAACCAAAAGCAGCTGAAACTTAAGGATTCTAATGCAGACATAGGCTCTCAAGTGTGCAATAATGAGGCAAATATTGATGACTATGGTCCTTGGTGCCTACTTACCACAAGGAAAAGCAGAAGCATGCAGAAAGTCAATGCTTTGGGCAAGTCAAAAGCTATAAACATCAAATCTATTCCCTCACAGAAGAAACAAGCTGAAATTGCTTAGAACATAGCCCATGCTAAGAGGAAAGCTGTAGTGGCAAGCAACGCCAGTTATATTTCTAATCTCTCCAACTTACAACTCAACTTTCCTAAAGTGATCTTCCTTCCTTTGGCAAGTAACTACAACAACCAGAAGGGTCCAGTAAGGCCTCAATTGAGGAAAACTAGTAAACCGTTTATCATGTGATTTGTTAGTGGAGTTTATCATCCAGATTTCATCAAAAGCATTTGAGATGTATGAAGTGGAATGCTTACCTAGTTAAGTTATAGAGCATGTACTCACTGGTGTTTCTGAGTTATCAGGAAAGTACAAAGTTTTTCTATTTACTCTTAATTTAAAAATCCATTTACACAGTTGCTTTATCTTTATTCCTCCGTAAAATTGGAGATGTCTTGTTGGTGCTTGGATTGTTCTTAGTACGGAGGTTTGTTTTTGTTGTTCAAAGACTTACCTTGGAGTTTCTGGCATATATATGTGTACCTTCTATAGTTTTACAATACTTATAAAACATGCATTCTCAATTATTGGATCTTGGTAGGCTTAGCTTGGGCTTGTATGGCCCAGTCTTTTTGATATTAAATGTAAGGGTAACAATCAGGATAAAGTTTTCACCATTGTATTGTGCTTCTGGCAAAACACCTCGTCTCCCTTCTTTACTTCAAATACTAGAAAATACTTTACTAAGGTTTGGAAGGAGTTCACATTCAATATAAAATCCGACTAAAAGTTCATAATTTTTTTCTCAAATGTCTCTAGCATAACAACTTCTTCATTGCACATCATTTTAATGAATTAACATATAGGTGAAGTTCAAGCCACTAAATTTTAATTTAATTATAATACTTAGTAACTGAGAGAATACCTTACTTGGTAGTGTAAATTTTAGTCTTAATTTCATGCACTAAGGCAGAGTCACAAACCTTTAAGTATGTATGCTTCACTGCTTCTCAACTATCTTTGATTGTGGTTAGGAACATACATATTTCACTGGTCTTCGGAGCCATTAAAAACCATAGATATGACATCATTGACGAATCTTTTATGTTCCAAGCAATAAAACTAAGATCTTCTCTCAATATGGGAACAATAAGATGGCCTAACTTTCCTTTTTCCTTAAGAAAGGTTCTCAAATTTGGGAGGACCAAATAAAATAATCTGAATGAAGGTTGAGAGAATGAAATGGATGTAGGACTTTGATTTTTATGATTTGCTAATGTTCTCCTAAACTATCTAAAAGTCTATTGGAAACTTTTATTTGAGTATGGGAAATCATCGAGCAAGGAGGTGGAAGGATTTCCTAGGGCTTTTTGGCTGAGGATTGGGGAATTTCCTAAAATTTTAGCTTGTAGAAAATGAAGAAGAAAATGTAACTTAGTGGTTGCAAATTGGAGGAGTCATTGAATTTTGTCTTCAATGAAGAATGATTGTCTACCAAATTTGAGTTAGGTAAATATGAGAAGCAATATGCAACTTATGAGTTCCAAATTGAAAGAGGTTCTTTGAACATTTGATATTCAAAGAGAAATGATTATTCACTTAATTTAGGCTAAATGAATGGACGAGACTAGGATTTGGATCATATGTCTATGGTGTCATTTGTTAATTTTATATTTAACAAGTGAGGTGGAAGAACTTAAGATTGGAAGATTTTAAGTTATCATGCATTATGGTTGTTTGTTGATTTTGTGTTTCGACAAACAAATCAAGTTAATCTAGGATTTGCCTCTAAGAGTATAGGGTTCATGTAATGATATATCTGAAGTCTTGAGAAACTTCAAGTCATCATACATGAGAGAGGAGAAAAGTTCATTTGCTAATTTTTTGTCTCAACAAATGAAGGAGGAGACTTAGGATTTGATCATAAAGTCCAATTAACTTATGACATGATATATTTAGGACTTTAGGGAAGTCCAAATATCATGCAGAAGAGAGGTAAAACTCAAAAAAAGAAGGCTCCTATATTTTATTTGATTGTTTTGGACTCATTTGGAGAGGGAAGACTGTTTGAATTCCTCTAAATGAAGTTCAAAGATCGATTTTAACATAATCTAAGGGAAAGCTAGGTGTGATGCATGAGATGAGTCATTGTTTTAGGAGATTAACAAATGTCCAGATCACTTGTAGCCAATAAATTATAATGCAGCCTTGCAAAACGAAAAATATTAAATCTTTAAAAATCCCATAGAAAATGTTTCAGGTGAACTAAAAATCAAATAGCAAGCACAAGAGTTCGTCAATGAAGATATTGCTACAACTAACTGTCAATGTTTCCATTACGCTTGACTTGGTACAGATATTAACCAGTTTGACTTAAGTTTAGATGGCTTCCACCATTTTCATTTCTTCAAACAAAATCTCCAATATAACTGATCAACATATAAACAATTAAAAAGAATAATTTAACAAGAAATATGAATGGATAATTAGATTAGTCGCTTATAATCCTATTATGGATAGTATTTTTCTTACCCTTCTTCAAATCGCATTTCGAGGTCATCAGTAGGAATACTGTGATTTTGCAGCCATCTCAAAAGGGAGGGAAACTGCTCTTTGTTTTTTATTGACACGAGCAAAGTTGTTGCAGGTTTGACAAAAGAAACCACTTTAGCTCCATTTCCAGCTCTTACGAGGACCCTTGTCCCAGAATTCAGATCAGATACATAAAAGTCCGCCACGTACCTCTGTTGCAAATGACAAAAATGGATCAATAATAAGATATCAGGAATCAAGTGCCCACCATACTATAAAATTATAAAATCCAGGAAATGTAAGGCCACAGATATTGGATGGATATTAAGTTATTATGAGAATTAGACCTTTAATAGGACAAAATGGAGAAAAAGAATTCATGTAGCCAACTCCACGTAGTGAGATAAAGGTTTGATGTCGTTGTTGTTGTACTGATAAAATAACTTACATTATAGGCTTCAAAAGCCAGAGCAAAAATATCAATGAATTATAATCGTCAAGAATTGGTTGAGTTCTTTCTTGTATTTATATAATCATAAGAGAGTTTCTATAATGAAAAATACAAAATCAAAAATTAAAATTTAACTATACAACTACTTATAATAAAGCAGCATACATAAATTGCTGAGGTGACATCCATGCGCACCTGGATCAAATGAGCTAGCAATGGACTAAAGGAGGGAAGAGGAGTTGGTAGGCCTGGTTGGTGGCTAGTAGAAATAGCAATTAGGCATGGTGTGAGGCAAACTTGGAGGGAGCGAACAACTAGTAGAGAGCAAGTTGTAGGGTTGCATCTGAGAAGCATATAAAAAGTGTTCAACAAAAATAGACTTTAATGCAAGTGTAATGGATTGTTGTCCATATGAGGCCCTGCAGACATACAACACTATCATCATATCATAAAATGAACTAATTTGCTCTAGCTTTTTTAAATAACTATAATTAATCCTAAGAGAACATCTAAAATACTAGCCTAACTATTCGTATGTCGCAAACATATCTCAAAGTATCACATTTCTCCAATTTATTCTCTCAACCATGTAAAATTGATCTCAAATGATACCTCAAGTAAAAATTGACAGAAATTGAGATAAAAAATTTATCCTAACATCATTCATTAGCTATACAAAATTGATCTCAATTTAGTCCCTAAGAGATAATTTGGAATAAACTTTGGTCATTCAACAAAACCGATCGCATATGAATAATCAAAGACTATTTTGATCTTTTGCATGTTTATATTTGAAATAAAATTGGATAACTTTGCAAATGTAAGAATAATTAAAAGAGAAATATAACATATTGGTTACATGTTTTTTTTTTTTTAAATCAAATTGGTTACACATATGGCCTAATAGAAAATGTTTTAGGCATTTAGTAAATGATAACCACACAAATAGAAAAAGAAAAATGAAATCATGTTTCAACTTGTTAAAAGGCCTTATTAGATAGAGCAAAATTTGATTTAAAACAGTGCCCAACAATAGATTCAAAAATGTCTTGTGAACGATGTTCTCATTGTTTTTTATCCTTGTAGTCAATTATATATTTTATTCTAAATTGTGAATGATGCACGTCTTCGACACTTTTACAGCATAGTAGAGTAAATGATTTAAAAACAAAGTTCTTTCACCTTCCTAGTACATTTTTTTTGTAAGCTACCATTCTCATGATTTTGGTACCAAGAATTTAAGGTTATAAATTATGAAGTACTCCAAACCGTGCTCTCATAATACAGTTCTTTTCACAACATCATTAGTTAAATGATTATTGAGAAGATTGTCCTCATTGGCATTGTCATTCTCATAATTTAAGGGCATTTTATGAAACTCCATTCTACATCTATAACTTTCAGAGTAGTTAACAAGATGTTAACAAAATGGCTCAGTAAGAATTTTATCTTTTGTCTTATTTGTAAAAATGAATTATGGAGGTCAACTATAAAGGCTTTCGTTTAAGTAGATTTAAAACTGTAAATATGGAGTGTAATTTTAGTAATAGAATATCTAGTGGGGGGATTGTGACTTTGGACGATCAAGTCATTAATAAGAGTACACGTTTTAACAGAGTGATGATGAAATAGATGGGGATATCTGTTGGCTCAAGAAAAATGGCACGAATGCACGAATCCCGCTTTGCAGCTGTAGGATTCCACTTCCCTTAAGTCAGATTGAAATTAACCAGATTTCCCCTGAGGGTAGTGTCAGTTTATAGATCTGGGGTTCTTACTTCCTGTGAGCGCAAGTGCCCATAGTTAATTACCCCTCTCACTACGTAAGAGAGAACTCTCGATTAAGGATGAAATAAATTTTAGTTAATTTTAGTCTCAATAGTAGGGGAAATGGAGGTAAACCTGATCAAGATCCCATGGTTCCGTCATCCCGGGTATACCATAGATTTCAGTCTACCAACACTAGCAATCATTGATCGTAGTGTCCAGGGAATCTGATTAGCAGCCATGGGTTGCCTCCTCTCAGGGATCCCGAGTAGACTGAAGTGGTTAGATGTGGATTTTAGTTTGATTTAATTAGGGTTGGGGCTTATGGCTTCCTTAGAAGTTGTCTGTTAATTTGTTTAGTTTGGGGCTTACGGCTCTAATTAGAAGTTGCCCAGAGATTTATTTAGTTTGGGGCTTACGGCTCCAGTTAGGAGTTGCCCGTAGAATTTCAGTTGAATAGGTCTTATGACTTCCTTAGAAGTTGCCTAACGGTGGGTCTTACGACCTAGCCTTGTAAGCTAAGCGGCCCGAGTTGTGGGTCTTACAACCTAGTCCTTTAGACTAGGATGCCCAGAGGATTTGAATTGGTTTTGAGATAGGTCTTATTATTTCCCTTAGGAAATTGCCTGAAAAGCGGGTCTTACAACTTAATCATTTAGACTAAAATGCCCAGAGATTTATTTTTTTATTGTTTGGGATTTAGGTTCATTACAATTTATTTAGTAATTTTCCTAAAATATTGGGGCTTACAACTTCAGTAAGAAGTTGCCCGAAAGCGGGTCTTACAACCTAATCCTATAGACTAGGATGCCCAAGTGAGGGGTCTAGGTGTATTATCCCCTAAACACTTCCCTCAGATGTCGGACTTACGACTTCTATTAGAAGTGGCCGAGGGTTTTAATTGGGTTTCAATTTCTACCTAAAACTTTTCCCCTATGATCGGGCTTACTGCTTTCCTACGAAAGTTGCCGGGTAGTGGGTCTTACAACCAAGTTCCTATAAACAAGGCTGCCCAAAGATTTTGAATTTGATTGTGTGTTTGTTGAGAGGATGTCAGTTGTTAAGGATTTGTTACTTGGAGAGTTTGAAAGATTTGTGATTTTTACACTTCAGGGCTGTGACACTTGCACTAGTGTTTTAGTTTTTCGGTGCTCGTAGCCTTTTATCTACTACAGTTGTCCAGTACTCTTCCTGTTTTTAGCACTTGTGCTTTACTAGTTTTTCGTACTTGGCTTTCTTGCTTTCCAGTATTTCATTCTAAATGTCGTAGCTTATATTTCTCAGCATTCATTCAATTTATTCATGTGGTACTGAATCTTCATTTGTTTGTTCATAGATGTTCGTAGTCAGTAGTTGCAGCAGTCAGGGCTCGTAGTTGCAGAGGATAGAGCCCAAAGATAATTGCAAGAATTTGTACAAGAGGAACTTTGGAGAACTTGCAGATGAGTTTGGTTTGAGAGTTTTGGGGATTTTGAGAGTTTTGGAGAGTTTGGGAATTTGTATAATTCTGATTAGTGGAAACATTCTCCTATTCTTTTTTTTATTATATTTTTTTATTATAAAATTGCTCAAATTGATTTAGTTAAAAAAATGCTTTCGGATTTTAACTTCAATTTTAAATTGCTTTAAAATTATTTTAGATTTTTTTTTCAGATTTTCAAAAACTCCCAAAATTTAAAGCTTCTTGTATTTTAAAATTTGTTGATTTTAAATGCTCTCGGATTTCTCTTTAAAAACAATCAATCAATTAATTTCATTTAATTTTGATTAATTATTTTTTTTAATTGATTGATAAAAATAAATTCAACTTTAATTGTTTCAAAATTATTTAAAAAAAGTTCAATAATTTTCTCGAAATTCCGGCAGCCTCCCGGCGTCACCTCCCCACCGAGGGAGAAATCGGGACGACATTTGCCGTTATTTTCTTCCCGGTCGGATTATATCATTATATATTATATATATATATAATATAAGAGAGAGGGTAAGGAACATAGTCGGACAGCCATTTAGGAGCCGAATAAGCAACCCGTGCAATCTCTGCACCTTTTTGCGAAGCAACGAAATCGGGCAGCGACGGAGGAGTCGGAGGGCTAGGCGTCGGTGTCGGAGTCGAATGTCAGGGTCGGAGAAGCCAAGTCGAACAGCAAGGAGGGAGTCGAAGAAGCAAAGTCGGGCGGCAATGAAGGAGTCGAAGGAGCCGTTCGTGCGATCCTTCCTCTGCCGCGAACTGAAGCCGAACAACAACCTTGGCGTCGGAGGAGTGAACAAAGGGAGCGTAATGCCTCCTTCTTTTTTGAACTCCTTCGTTTCTTTTATTTGTTTTCTTTGTCAAATGGTAGTTACTCGAACGAAACGGTGTGTCGTTCGGTGAAGTGGGGCCGGCGGAGACAGCGAAGAGAGGAATCGGTTTCGATCTCTCTTTTTTTTTTACTACTTCTTCTCTCTTTTTTTATATAGTCAACAATATCATTAGTATAATTCAATTTGGATGGTTGAAGTGGAGGAATGCATCGGGCTTGTTGTGCGATAGAAAAGTCCCTCTCAAACTTATGAGAAAATTCTATAAGATGGTAGTGATACATGTAATGCTTTATGGTGCAGAGAGTTGGCCATTAAAAGAGAAGCATAATATTAAGTTAAGTGTTGCAGAGATTAGGATGTTCAGGTGGATGAGTGACTTTACTCTTAGAGACAGGATATGAAATGATCATATACATTAAAAGGTTGGAGCAACTTCAGTGGAAGATAAGATTAGAAAGAGACACCTTAGATTGTTTGGTCACATAAAAAAGGCAACCTTTCGATGACTCAGTTAATAAAGTAGATGTATTAGATTTGACTTATGTTAAGAAAGGTAAAGGTAGACCTATAAAAACTTGGTTGGAAAATATTTGAAGATACTTTTGAGCAAAAGGAAATGTTTGAGAAACTTTTTTATGATGTAGGACCCATAGTCCATCACTTCCCATCGCACTTGATACAAGTGCATGCAGGAGGTCCTTCTAGGTAAATTTGAAGGTTCGGAAGAACTGCAAAATTTATTTTGTAAATGAGCGACACTCGAGTGACTTTAGTGTGACATCACATTCATAATGCATCATTTTCATCACATTCGATCAAATAGATTGTTGGGGTCCTTCGCCAATTTTTGCCGTGGGTGAAGAGGGTCTTTCTTTGGTAATTTTAATACTCCAAATGTGTAAGTGTTGGTCCATTTTGTGAGCAGATGACATTTAAGTGTTTTGGTCATGGTTTGGACACTTCAAACTCCCTTCGTAAGGCATCACAATAGTTGAGCAAGTTCCCGTCATGCTTGCTCAAACAGTTGCCATTATTTCTGCAATTTCACCTTATGCTTCACACTTCAGAGTTCCGCCACTTTACTATAGTTGATTCTCTGCTTTCTTCAATCGATTCAATCATTGATTATTTTTTCTTTCAGTAGTAAGTTCCTTGTTCCCTCGAAGTTGGATCACTATTCCTCTACAATTGTTAAAGCCACTAGTTCTATTGATTGAGTCACTATTGCACTGTTTCCATGCAAACTGCAACAAGGATCGCTAATATGGAGATCGTGGTTATTTTCAAATGCACTATTTCATACTTACTGTAGCCAGGATGACTGATTTGAAGATCTGCTGATGATTTTGATGAACTTTGAATTATTGTTTGAAGTGAATTGTCCATGTTCTGGTTTTGCATCAAAAAATACTAAATTTTGCATAAAACAAAAGATGAAAACTGCAAATTATGATTTTTGGCGCATTTCTTCACTGTTATCCGAGATTTGAATTAATGAACACTAACCGAAAGACATCCTATATCAACGCCTTACCCCATAATGTCATTTTCTGAAACTATTATAGATTTATGTAAGTGAAAATGCCATAACATGAATTTATAACAGGACTGTTGGATGTACAACGGTGAAAAAGATTACATGCCATAAGTGTAACCTAGCAAAGATGAAATCTCATAAATACAAAATGTTGGAAGTGCATTTTTTTAAGGCATCACTATTTCTCATATTAGCGGTTTATCGAGCAATTTTACTAGGTTGTAATACACAAACAAATTAAAGTACTGGAAAATAGTTCATTCATACTAACTCACAAAGGACCAACCTCAGAGTGTCTCAAAGTCCATGAATGTGCCGTGTAAGAAGCTATAGACAAGTTCCATGGTTTGCGTTCATGCAATTCAATGGAGGTATAAGCACATCTGGGTACATTCTGATAGGATGTGTCTAGAGAAGTATTGCCGCAGGTGACAAGCTGCAAGAATCGTAAAGTGATATAAGTTAAAATTGAAATCATTTATCCAAACTATTCAGGCTAGGTTTATCAATCCCTGTTATGCATTCATTCCAACATAAATGCTACAAGAGATGTTAATTTTGCACAATTTGTAGCCATCTTATTAGTTATTTACCTTTTCTTTCTTAGTTCTTTTAATACTAACTCCATCTAATCTGTTTTATTGATGCTTCTCCTATCCTCAATGAATATGCTTGAAACAAGTCAAGTTTTCATACCTTATTCTTAATAACTCCCGCCGTTGTCTCGTTAACTTCTTACAATGGATCCATCTAAATTTATTTATCAAAAAAATTTATTTGTTGCCCAACAGTCTGAACCAAACTAAATAGTCAATTCCATTGAAGATAAACTTTACCTCTGTCACAATGATTCTCTTATTTCCATAGTACTTTCCCATTACTCTCTTTTAACACCCTTGCTTTAATACCGATATAATCTCATCATTTATACCCTTAATACTTCAAGAAATAGATTTAATTACTTCAACCTATAAGTATTATATAATCTTCTAATATTATTGATTAATATTAACAAATTTGGCATCCTCATTTTACATTATGATTTTTATTCAACAAAAGTTTAATTGAAAGATGTGCACACAAAATTTTAAATTATTTCCAATTCATGATTTCATCCTTGGATTCATAAATATTTTTTTGGGATGTATGCAAGTGTATGGCATGGAATGCTTTTCAATGTGATGTTGCATGTTTTCAATGGCACACTTTCCAATGCTTCCATTTCACATGCTTTATAGCATAGTTTTTCCTATTGTGCACTAAAATGTGTTGCCTTGCATGCTTTTTGATGTGCCACATGCCACACTTTTCAATGCACCTTCTTATACATTTTCTAACGCTACTCAATGTTCATTTTTGCTCGCAATTTTGTTTGTATTCAAGTTTTCTCAAGAATTAATTTTATCAAAATTCCTAAAAAATAATTGATCATATTTTCTTGTGCTTGCAAGCTTTATGACGCATCAATTTCTTTTCAAACTTACACTCGCAATATTTTGCATCACACCCGAATATCTTCCTCCAAAACCTCCCTCTTTTGTTTTGGTAATGTAGATGATGTCCCCCTTTGTGCCTTGTTTTCCCTTTTAAGAAGTCTAAATACCCATCATTTTCCAATGTGAAGTGCTGCCACATGGCATCGTTGATGGAGCATGTATATAATTACAAGTTACTAATAACAGGACATAACATCAAGGGGCCAAACACTTTTACGCAGGATAGACTATCAGAGCAATTGAAGTGAGGTCATAGGAGACAAAGATGTTGAAGAGGCCGCGATCATGCGGGTTCAAACCCAAACAAAACTAAGATGCAATGGCGCAAGGAAGGTGCTTTGAGACAATAGATCATGACACTGTCTAAGTTATTGCACTTCTTGAAAACGTGGAACAAGATGGAGTTTAAAGAGTTATAATTTAGACCAATAAGAGAGGAAAATAACAGCTTGTTGATTTTCAGTGATATCAAGTGGGTATCAAGATAGATCAATAGTTAATACTATCGAGTGATCACCGCACTGTTTAAGTTATTGCACTTCTTAAAAATGTGGAACAAGATGGAGTTTAAAAAGTCCCGTGGGAGACCTGAGGACATGAGGATCGAAAGACCTTTTAGCTCCTCTCCAGGCGGGGTTAAGGATTGTCTAGAGAGATTTATGACAAAAAACTCGAAAGTCAACTGAAGAGAAGAACCAAGTGATCACAACATGGAGAGAATCAATCGCTCACAATATGTAGGGCTATGATTGACTTTTGAGATGAATAGAACTTTTAAGGTTACAACAGCCTCAACCGACTCAAACTTAGGTCGGGCGAGAAACACTCCACTCTTTGGTTCCCTAAAGATCTATCAATTCCTATGGCATGAAAAATGCGAGCAATCTTTCCTCCATTTAAAATAATACCTCACATTAATGCCAATATTGAGCAACTCAAAGCAGGGAGCAAACCTCTACCTCTATCTTAAGGTGGACCATTCAACCGTTAGCTCAACGCTTATTTGAGAAGAAAATAAATAGCGCTCGCACATTCATTGCTATAACAAAATGCTAAGGGACTAGAAAGTGAATTACCCCATGATAGACAATTTAGGCCTCGCTTGGATTAACCTGGCTAGGTGCCTCAAACATTATTTTCAAGCTCACAAAATCATCATCACCACCAACTCTTCCCTACAAGAACTACAAAACTAGAACTCCCAAGAAAGCTCATGAAGTTGTTGAAAGAACAAAGCGAGTTCAACATCCAATATATCCAAAGAACAACTACAAAGACGTAGGTAAAATTTACTAGTCCTATGGCAGACAAAAAATTTACTAAAAAGGAAGATAAAAATTATAGAATGCACATCGAGGAAGCATCCAATAGAGGCAAAAAAAGCATTACATTAAGCTTAAGATCCCATATGGAGTCTTGATATCCTCACTCAAGATTAAAGCTATGAAGCCCATCTCATTCTGAGCCAGATGTTTGACATGCTTCACACTTAGCTACATATTCAACAACGTCTTTCTTCATACCAGGCCACCAGAAAATTGATTTCAAGTCTTTATACATCTTGGTACTGCTTGGATAAATCGTATAGCTAGAATGATGAGCTTCTTGTAATTTTTTTTCTCAACTCTAGATTACCAGGTATCCATAACTGAAATTTATGCCTAATGATTCCATCAGCAACAACAAAAAGATATGGTATTTTCTCTAATTGAGCATGCTTCATTAACTATGGATATTCATTATAAACCTTTTGAGCTTCCTTGATATCATCTATTAAGGTTGGCTTTACTATCATCTAATGTAAGTAATCCACATTTTTAAAATCTTTAATCTTTAATTGCAAATTCATCATTTCCTTAATCAATTGAACCTCTTACTTAATCATCCAATTCATCATTCATGTGAATTTGGGATCCAAGGCATCAACCACAATGTTAGCTTTTACAGGATAATACTGAATATCCACATCATAATCCTTGATGAGTTCCAGTCGTCTTCTTTGTCTCAGATTGAGTTCTTTCTAAGAAAATATGTATTTTATGCTTTGATGATCAATAAAAATTTCACATCTTATCCCATACAGGTAATGCCTCCAAATCTTCAAAGAAAATACCACTGCAACTAGCTCTAGATTATGAGTAGGATAATTTCTTTCAAGTGGCTTTGATTGTTACGATGCATATACAATGACCTTTATGTTTTGTGTTAGGACACATCCTAAACCTTTCAAAGAAGCATCACTGTAAATCTAAAATTCTTTTGTTCCTGAGGGAAGTGTCAATAATGGTGTTGTAGTCAAATGCATCTTTAATGCTTGAAAGCACTTCTCACATTCAGCAGCCCATTCAAATTTAACATCCTTTTTTATCAGCTTGAACAAGAGCATAGCAATTTGTAAGAATTATTTAACAAACCTCCTATAATATCCCGTCAATCATAAGAAGCTATGAACCTATATAACATTATTTGGTATAGATCACTCCACAATTGCTTTCACCTTCTATGGGTTTACTGAAATTCATTCACCAGTGATCATCCCCCGATAAAGTATTGCATACAACTAATTTTTCTCAATATTTTCAAAACTATCCTTAAATATTCAATATGCTCCTCATCAGTCTTTGAGTATATCAGAATGTCATCAATAAAAATAATCATAAGCAGATCTATGTGGTTTTTGAAAATCTGATTCATCATATCCATGAAAAAAACAGGAGCATTTGTCAACACAACAGACCTGACTCTAAACTCAAAATAATCATACATAGTCCCAAAAGTTGTCTTACTGACATATGCTTCTGTAACACTCGATGATATCTTGATCTTAAATCAATTCTAGAAAATATTGTGCATTTGCCAACTGATCAAACAAGTCATCAATATATGGAAGTGGATATTTATTCTTCATTGTCGTTCAACTCTCTATAATCAATACACATTCGCATGAATCCACCTTTCTTAACAAAAAGTATAGGTACACTCCAAGGTGAATGGCTATCCCTGATAAATCTTTTATCCATCAATTCATATAACTACATTTTTAACTCCTGCAATTCTTTCGAGGTCATCATGTAAGAAGATTTGTAGATTGCTAATGTTCTTGGTTGCAATTTTATGCCACTCAACTTCTCTTTCAGGTGATAATCTAGGTAATTCTTCTAAAAATTCTAAAATCACTGGAACATGTTGTAATATTTGTACGTTTTTGTTTAAGACCTCAATTTTAGCTAAGAACATCAACTCGCCCCTTCTTAGATATTAACATATTTTCACTGCACGAATAAGAGAGGGTATTGTATTTTCCTCACAGGAAAAGTAGAAGGTATTCTCATTTGGAAAACTAAACTTTATTCTTTTCTTCCAATATTCAATTATAACAAATTGTTTAACTAGTCAATGCATTCCCAAAATGATATTAAAATTTTTAATAGGCACTAAAATCAATTCTATTGAAATTTTATGACTTTGAATATCCATATTCAAAAACACATCCTATTGGTACGCAAATTATCTCCCATTGCATCATAGCGCACAAGGCATGTATAAAACATACAGTCTCAATAGATAAATCAAAACAAAATTTTTCATAAATAAATGAATGAGATGCATCAGAATCAAAAAGAACTTTGTCAAACTTATTGGAAATCAAAAGTATATATGTAACCACACCCTCTGAATCTTTGGCTTCTTGAGGTGTAATAATAAATACTCGAGCTTTCACATGTTGATTAGCTTTAACATTTGATGTTTCTCCTCTTAGTTGAACTAGTGGCTTCCTTAGCACTATTGGCTTTCCCTGATACTAAGCTTTTCCTGCCTGATTTCTTTCAAGATATATCCTCTGTGGTGTATGTTCCTGATATGCCTGTGGCCTAGCATTGCTTCTTCACTCCTGAGAACAGTCCACCTTACGATGACCCAATTCATCATATCTAAAACATCTTTAATAACTCACCAAATACTAACCAGGATGTCTCTTCCCACACTGATTACACAAAATTTTTTCAGGTTGAGTTGGTTTATGTCTATCATCAAATTTTGGCTTCTTGTTTCAGAATGATCTTCCTTTTCAAACATTTTCCTTTTGGTTGTTTGTTTTTGTTCCCAATTATGCTTAGAGAAGTTCAGCTCTTCTTCAATTCTTCTGGCTCTCTTCATTAAGCTTGAGAATTTGCTAATATCAAAAGGTGTCAATTCTAGTCGCAGTTAATCCCTGAGTCCTCTAAAAAATATGTGGTATTTTTTTCTCCTGAGTGCTGATATAATGAGGTGCATAACGGGATAAAAAAGTAAACTCAACTTCATATTGCATAACCATTTCAGAACTCTGAGTCAAATTGAAGAATTTGTTTTGCAAAGCTAATCTGGCTAAAGGAGGAATCAATCAATCTCTGAACACCCTTACAAAATCATCCCACTATATGATAGTGATAGGCATCTATCCAAATTTCTCTATATATTATACTTGTCACCATCTTTCTGCCTCTCCTTCCAAAACAAATATGGCCAATGGTACCTTTATATTTTCCGGACAGATCATACCATTTATGATCTTCCCTATCTTCAACAACCAATCCTCAGCTATTGTTGGATCACTTGCACCTTTGAATACTAGCAGTTTAAAAGCCTGAAATAACTTTAAATGTTGATCAACTTCACTGCCAAATTTAGATTTGGAGTCAATGTTGGTTGAAGATTTTTGCATAGATGTCATTTTATCCACCACTTATGAAATCAAATGCACAATATCTTGGAGTTCTTTAGACTTATTCCCCTCATTTATTATGCTTCTCTAAGAACATTCAACCTGCCTTTCTATTTTTGAATCTAGTCTGAATGATTGACCAATAATTTTTTCTGACAATTCCACATATATATTGACCTAAAAGTATGTATATATAGATAATTTATATAATATATTTGATCATTTGAATATTTGAATCATGTTATGCATGTATGCTTCAATTCTATTATGCATGCACAGGTCAGGTCAACCTCATTCTAACCTATAACTTTGTATAAATCATATTCATTTTATTTCATCATATTTCATTTCTAAATTCAATTATGCTTTCATTTGATTTGATTTAGTTCTAATTCTAATTTTTTATTACATTCCATTTTGACCCCCTTTGTAATCAACATAGAGTTCAACAGAGGAGTATCTGAACAAACCTGCTTCTTACTAACACTCATTTTGAACTATTTCTATCAAAATCAGGTGAGCAAGAAGTAGCATATTCAAACTATCCTAACATTAAGTTTTATACTTCATAACATGAAGCATACATAAAATATCTCAAATAAAATATAGAGTTTTACTAAACTTTTTAAAGTTTATTTACATACCCACTTGGACCTATATATACACCCAAAACTTACGTACACAAAAATGGTAGTTAATCGTCCTGTCTACTACCCCACTGGCTTCTTCTCCTTTCTTGTAATACAACCACTGCTAATGAGCTAGCGCTCAATGAAATACACAAGCAATGTACAAGAAATAATAATCAATTGCAAAGACTTGTTCGTTTCTATGGTAGACATAAGATATATATAACATCAATTTCTATTTATATGTATTTTTTAACACTTTTATATAATCATATGATGACTACAGGCTTTTGCACCCTTACAATTTTCTAATTCAAGGTTGGGTATGTATTCCCACCTTTTAGAATTGAAGCTACTCTATCATTCAAGATTGGGTCTAAATTATCAATCTTTAGAATTTCGAGAGACAGGCTTACCTTGTCAGGTTTTTCAACTTTACTTGTGCAAGCCTATCCCCCCTTAGTTTAGCTTTTTAATATCATTCACTTTTAACAATCATAATATGTGTTATTGTAATTACTACTTAATAAATCAATAAACTTATACATGATGAAATATGAATTTAACGTTATTATGGTAATATCAATTATGAAGTTCTAGTATATGAAATGTTAACTATTTTCTATGCCATAGTTTGTGTATCTCATCTTACTAGGAATTGATTCTTCTAGATCCTTCTTTCTTTTTCTCTTGTACACTATCTCCACTAAATTTCTCCTCATTCAACCCAAAATTTCTCTCCTTAATTTAGTAATTAGTCACATCAGAATTCAACCAACAGCAATTTCCTACTAAATTCGGCAAACACTATAACACCCTTACGTAATTTCAACCCTTCCACAGCAATTTTTATCAAATTTCAACAACTCTAAGGCAATTCTGATCTGTTTCGTATACCTGATCGAAAAATTCAACAATTCAATATTCACAAGATCATTACAACAGCTCTTATCTATACCAAATACCTGAATTCAGCAATTAACTTTTTCTTAGCTAAGCTTAGAAGCAGTTGCAGCAGCCTCAAAGCTAATTTCTACTCGCCTCCCCCCTTTAGGATCATGAATTCTACTCGGCAGCAGTCATCTGCTTCGAATGCCAGTGAATGTCGTGGATGGGAGGGGAAAAGGAATAAAGAGAAATGTTATAGCTTTAGTGCTTAAGGTAACTTAATATAATAATAATACTAATCTTCCACTAAGGCTCCACTAACAGCCCTTACTCTCTCCCAGCCACAAAATCCCCATCAAACCGTTGCATGCAAGCTTAAGTGGGACAGCAATAGGAATAGTAATATGAAGTATGAACTAACTGTAAATTAATTATTACTTAGTTTTTAATTACCTATTACTTAAATATTAAACAGCTATTAATTAAATAGCTATATATATATAATTAGATTGATATTTTAAATATGTTTTTCTATATCAACATGCTCGAAATTAAAAATAGAATTTACTAAAAATAAGTTAACGTTTAGAGGAAGTTTATGCTTATATTTATTTTGAACATTTTGAATTTTATAGAATGTCACATAATACTTTTACGATCATGAAAGAATGATTTAAAAGTTTAATTTAAGACTCTTTGATGAGTAGATGAATCATGCAAGTCAAAAAACAAAGATATTTATAAATTGATTGATTTCAAGACCATTCTACTTCTCATTTGGGCCCATCCACTATTACAAGTGACGATATTGTCCCAAAATGGCAACAACACTCCCTAATAATAACAGGCAAATCAGTAAAACGAAAGCACGATATACGAATAAGTAAAGCAACTCCCATATTATAATTTTTGGTGGCTGTTTAATACTAACATAAATGTGACACTTTCAGAATTAAATAACTATAAAGATTCTTTTTTTATGTGCTTCGCCAATTTTACATGAAACAAACACAAAAGAAAGCAAAAAAAAAAAACTACCATCGAATTTGCAAACAAATCCAATGAACGTACTCACAAGTAGCAACAAGTTAGCTTTAACATTACTAAAATGGAAATTATGCTATAAAAGTGTCAGGGGGTGGGAAATGAATGAAATGTGAACTTACCCCGGTGATCTTAACAAGTTTACTAATGGGCAGGTTCCTTGGATTAATGGAAGTGTCCGGGTAAGCCCTGAAGTACCTCTCCAGCTCTCTCCTTCCCCTCGCCCAATTCCACAGGGCCAAAACCCCAACCACCACTGCAAGCCCCGCAAATGACAGAAAAATCTGCGGCCGACCAATCGCCGCCCACACAAACCCAGCAACCCCAATCGCAACCGCAAACGCTACTGCACTCACTGCAAGCCACACTTTCGGCAACCAGAACGAAAAATTAATCTCGCTCTCCAGCACCGTCAACCCTGGACTAACCTTCTTTTTGTTCGCCGACGGCACCGGCGAAAACTCGCCGATTGGGCCGGAAGTGATGAGGCCTGTCGGCGAAAGAAGCGGGCCGGAGGTAATCTTTGTCGATGACGGGCCGGATATTCGAGCCATGGGGCCGGAGTTGGAGCTCTTTGAAGCGGAGGGGCGGTCGATGGGGATGTCGAACATCCGGGCGAGTTCACCGGATAAGCGAACGCCGCCGCCCGTATACGGAGCCGCCGCGGATGACATCGTCGGAGCCCGGGTCTTCGCCTCCCCCGGCGGCAAACCGGAGACGAGCATGCCAGTGCTCAGCTTGTGCGCTGTGCGTCCCGAGGACATCTCCAGTTAGCCAGGAGGAGAGAGAGAGAGAGAGGAGTGAGCGTTTAAATCGCCATGCTGGAGCGGCGACAAGATAGTAACAGGATTAATGGGGTGGATGGATTTCCGATTATATATCATCCATCAAATATTAAACTTTTTTTTTTTAAGGATAATATTTTTCTTCTTATGATACTCTTTTAAGAATTTATTTGGGGTAATTTTTTACCTACTTAGTTTTTATGTAATAATTATAAAATAATTTTATTATTATTTTTTATTACTTTTTCATTATTTTTAAAAAATTTTTTATAAAATTTGATTTTTGCAATAAGAATAAATAAATTAATTTCTTCATAACAATTTTATTACCAACTTCATAAAACTCTACTGCCATCCCGAGGAATAGATGTAGTATAGGAGCACAGCCCCCACTAAAAACTTAATTAATATTTAATTAAGTGTATTAATTAATCTTTAATTAGTCTTAAATAAAATAATTATTATTAGTTTTTTCTTTTTTTCATGAGGCTCTTTTGATTCCCGATTCACATTCCGCTCTTTCCTTTTTCCATGCATGCACGGAGCAAGCCAAAGTCTAGATTGCAAGGCCGAGGGCTGATCCCGGACCAACCTCACCTCCCGAACCCCCTACTCATACGTGAGCCCGCACAAAGTCTTAGTCATCCAACCTATAGCCAAGGCGATGCCGACCTCCGATCCGAGCTGCCAGGGCCTCTTTCATATTCCTTTGGTTTGTGAAGCACACTCCAATTGAAGCCCTTAGTCAGTTTCCTCCTGATCGCAAGCAACCCGAAGCCTCCTTCCTCTATTTCCCCCTTCCAACTCCTTCCAGTCGGACGCAAGGAAGTTGTTCGGCTTGCAGCTCCCAACCACAAGGAAGTCGTTCGGTCGCAACTCTTCTAGCAACTCGCAAGCCTCTTCCACTCTCTTTTCTCTCTCTCTCCTTCTCTCTGTTCTGCCTTTTCTCCCTTTCTTGCACACCGCACCAACAGGTGATAGCCGATAGCCGACTTAGGCATTTAGACTTCGAAGAGCAGCGAAGGTGAAGCCAATGTGCACAATTTTAATTTGTTTCTCGATTTTTCCAATGATCATTACTTTGTTAATTTGTTAAGAAACTGATCTTGTTCTTATATAGTTATATCAAAATCATCACTATTTCATGCCATAAATTCAAATTTAAAAAAAAAAAAAAATTTTGAGAAAAGTATATATATTTGAGAAAACTCTTGTGTATACTCATTTATTTAGGCTATGTTTGGCTTGAAGGAGTTCATAGAGAGAAAATGAAAATGTATGGGTAAAAGAATTGAATTGAATTAAGGCTTCGTTTGGTATGTCTTTCTTACAGCTTCTTAAAGCAGCTTTATAGTACAAAAATAAATAAATAAACCCATTAATGCATGTTTCAAGCCTGGACTAAAAATGTTAAGATTTTTTTTTTATTTCAATAATTTGTGACCCAACATCAAAAAAAAAATTTCTTCACCCTCTAGTCATCCCAATAAACTATATATTTCATAAATAATTATTTATGATTTTGTGAATAATATTTTAAATTTTTTTAAATACATTTCAATAATAAATGATGAGAATTATGTCATTTAACTATGATATTATGATAATTGATAATAATCTTATCTCGGAAGCAGCTTCTGAGAGTTTTGCCCTAGCCGCCTTCCCCTTCGTTTTGCCCTAGCCGCCATCTCCTGGCCTACCACCAGCCTTTGCCGGTGGCATCACGAGCTCATGGATTCCACCTCTCCTCTCTATTTCCCCCTGCTTGGCTCCTCCTCCTCGTCTCCTCCCACTGCTATGCCCGCCTTGGACCGTCTCTGGTATAATATTATTTCTGCTCTAGAAATCTCTCCACCCTCTATCTCGATCTCTCTCATTGAAACACCTGAAGATATTGTGCCCTTTAACAAAGATTTCACAAATGATGCTGCTATTGAATGGAATATTTCGATGGTTGGGTATTCCTTTGGTAAACGTCCCTATTACGAATCTCTTCTTTCTACTACTAAGAGGGTATGGAAGCTCAAAGGTACTTTCAGCTTATTGCATTTAGTGATGGCTTCTGTCTTTTCAAATTCTCCAATGGAGAATATTTTGATATGGTATGGTCCAAAGGAGCATGGCTCTTTCATGGTAAACCCTTCATCTTCCAAAAATAGATCAAAATTTTTCACTCAACCAGAGAAAACTTCTCTTATGTACCTATTTTGGTTAGAATACACGACTTAACCTTGGAGTGTTGGAATTCTGAAGGAATCTCCAAAATAGCTTCTAAAATTGGGATACCCATTGTTGTTGATGCATTAACTGCTGCTAAAACCAGGCTTACCTATGTTAGAATCTGTATACAAGTCTTCACTACCTCTTCCTTCTCTGAAACTGTACATATTGCCATTGAAGATGAAATTTTTAAGCTAAAGGTCCACTATGAATGGAAACCTTCACCTTCCTCTTCATGCAATTCCTTGGCTCATCCTTCAATTCCCTACCCTACAAAATGTCAAACTCAACAGAATCAACAAACCACCCACAAAGGTCGCAGCACCTCCCAGCAACCTTGTAGGAAGTCGTCCTCTCGTCCCCCTCTCACATATAGAATACCCTCCACTGAAGCGTCAGCCTCGCACCAGGCTGTGCAAACAACTCTGAGCTTTCCTCACTTCTGAGAAATCTCGCCAGCTCCTCTCTGGTACCTGTCCCCCCCCCCCCCAAGTCAATATCAAAAGTAATATGCCTAATCCTGATAAGAACCTGGCACTTGATGTGGCTCTCAAAAATAGGAATTCCAATTCCTTTAGCTGCATAAATACTAAACAAACCCCATCTATTAATGTGCCTACATGCTCCTTATGCATTACTATACCCAACCTCAATTCTCCTACTGAGGACTGTTCTGGTAACCTGGAAACTGAATTGATCATCATTGGGCAAGTTTCTAATATCCTATCTAAAAACCAATTTTTATCTCTTCAAAACTGTGAAGAGCAAACCCAAATCCCAGTGGGTGCTGTTGAGAACCTACACACTGATCCCCCTCAAAATTCTAACTCAAAAATCCCCAATTCCTCCTTGCCCAAAACCACCAGGGGTAAAGGATCTTAAAAACCTCCCACACCCACTACCAAATCTAAATGATTAACCCATCTATAGCCGAATGGAATATCATAGGATTTAACTCCTCTAATAAGGTGTATTATTGCAAATGCCTGATACGAACTCTCTGGTTGGATATGCTTTGCATACTTGAAAACAGACTTCAAAACTCTTCTCTTGAGAAAAACCCTTCTTTCTCAACCATCATAGGGTCTTTGATGTTGAGGAAAGCTGTAACAACTTTCATTGTTATGATCCTGACAGGATCTGGATAAAATGGTCACCTGATAATATCTCTTTTCAACCCTTTTTCATCTCTTCCCAAATAATTGCTGGCAGCATTTATTATGGGTCCTCTAAGCCACTTATGCTCTCTGTCATTTATGCTTCTAATAACCATGAAGAGAGAAAAACCCTTTGAGGTGACATAAGAGCTCTTACACCTTCTGATAGAATCCCTTGGATCATTATGGGAGACTTTAACTATTATTATTTCCCTTCTAACAAACTGGAGGTAATGCTCTTCATCAAAATCAGCTTAGTGATTTCAATGGTCTAATTTTTTATGCTAATCTCAAAGAGTTGGCATATGTGGGTCCCTCCTATACCTGGTTATATCAGAGAACAATTAATCCCATTCATATAAAGCTTGATAGAATGCTTGTTAATGATGATTTGATGGAGACCTATCCCAACTCTCACTATGTGGTTAAACCTCCTACATGCTCTGATCATTGCCCCATTGTCCTTTTGCCTAGGCATAGGGAAGTCACTCATCATAGATTTCTTTTTTAAAAACTACTGGATTAATTCGAAGGATTTTTGGTTCATATTACTCTCTATTTTCACTAGGAAAGTTAGTGGTCAGCCTTTTGTTGCACTTTGCTCCTTGCTTAAGCAACTCAAGCTTGCCATTAAAGGTAAAAAATGGGCAAATTCTAATTTGTTGGCTGACCAACTCAAGTCTTTGTATGTAAAGCAAGAAACATGTATCAACCATTTGAGCTTGGAATGCAATATAGAAGAAGTATCTTTGACTCTTAAAAATATTAATCAGTAAGTGTCAGTTGTCTCTTCTCAATGGCTCTCTTGGATTTCTCAAAGAGCAAAAATCACATGGATTTCAAATGGTGAAGATGATCTAAAATTTTTATATTCTAAGATTCATATGAGGAAGAATTATAGGAGTACTGCAATTTCTTTTTCAATGGCCAATACCTCCAACTCCTATAATGAGGCGGACAATAATGTTATCTCTCATTTTCACGGGCTTTTCAATCCTCCTATATGACAGGCTTTTGACATCATTCATTTTTCGGTGGGTACTTCTATTCCTTCTTAATATCATTTTCCTCTAACCATTCCTTTTATAGAAGCAAAAATCAATAAAGCTGTTTTCTCTAGGGCTTCCCACTCCACACCGTGTCTTGATGGTTTCAACTTTGAATTCTTCAAAACTACTTGGTTGGTGACGAGACCTATCGTATGCAAAGCTATAAAGTATTTTTTATCATAATGCATACATTCCTCGTGCAGTTAAAGCTACTGCTATTACTCTCATCCCCAAAACTAGTCATGCTGAGGCTATTACCGACTTTCAACCTATTTTCATGTGCAACACGATATACAAAATCATTGCCAAAATTCTTGCTGCTATAATGAAACCTATTATGCCACTTATCATTCAAGGTAATCAATCCGGGTTCATACATAGAAGGATCTCCACATATAATGTAATTCTAGCCCGTGAAATCCTTTTTCATTATAGAAACTCTGCTAAGCTTAATCTTATGTGTGTCAAATTTGATATAAAAAAAGCTTTTGATAGTGTTTCAAGAGAGTTCCTTATTGAAAGATTAGTTCAAAAAAGTCTTCTTTATCTGTTTATTAAATGGATTACTGCTTGCATCAAGGATATGTTTGGTTTTTCTTATGCATTGATGGTGCTCTTAACAGCTTCTTTCCCTCCACGGTTGGT